TTGCATAATCATGTCCTTCTTTAATCCTCAGGTTTTATGTTGAAACACACCATTTAGGGCCTACAGTCATGACCTCTTAATTATGTTAAACGTGTGTGGAAACTTTAATCTACTTATTACAAGTAGACATTCTGAAGACTAATAGCAAGTTTTCTATTTCTTCATAATTACCACCCCACCTAACCCCATGCTGAATCCTTGATAGGTACTTAGGAAATATTAAATTGATTGGTCTAGAGGTGCTCTGAGAGCATTTTCTCTACCAGGGATAAATTTCATCCATATCATACAATCTCCACTTGGCAAAAGGCTCATCTTTCAAGGAGAAACTTAAATGGCAGCTTTAGTGTGGCTTTTTCCTCTCCATCACTAGGCTAAGCTTGTCTTTTCTTATATATGTCTATTGGCACTTGTCCTGTTGCTATTCTTATTTGTTTATACATCTGTCTCCCCACCAAAACAATGAGTTGTTTTTCTTCAGGAAAAGAGACACATTTCACTTTTGTTGTATTTCTATGCCCACTACTGCTCTTATATTATAAGAAATGTCAAATACTGTTGAATAGATGTATAGAATGAATGCCCATACGTTTAGGAAAAGACTGAATTTTTGCTATGTGTTCACTCTCTCTCTCTGAAAACTCCAGAAGCAATTTTTGACAATATGAGATGAAGGACTAATGTGAGGCTTGACACTAAATTTATAAGTTCATGTTCTAAGCTATATATACAGAGTCAGGGGATAGGTTCCTAGTATCTATGCCAATTCTGCCCCCTAATTACCTTTAATAGATCTGAGTTGGCAATGCATTCTACTATATTCTTGTGGTTTTGAAATCCACATTTGACAATCTTAAGCATTTAAAACCCATTATTTAAAATTAGCAGAGTTAAAATATTAGAAACTACAAAGAACATACTTGTTAACAATATTTTCTCCTGGGGTGGTCCATAGATTGCTATGAGACTTAAATTGCTTCTTTTAACACCGCACGTGTACCTTTCGTTATTACCTACCTTGAAGTTAGTTTATTAATGTATTTCTTTTAATCTCTATTGGATACATATTCTTTGAGAGAAAAGAGAGTTTTACATGTCTCTGTTCTCTGTAGCATGTGGCACAGTAATTTCTATGGGGTCGGGGCTAAGTAAACAGCTACTGTATGAATCTATTAAGGACCATATTCCAAGTTTCTGATGACTATTAAAGCTGAGCAACATGAAAGAAATTACTCTTATCAAAGTGTCAGCAATGTTTATCCCTTTCCTGAGCAACTAGTTTGTTTTACATAATGATTTTAACAAGTTGTATTATTGCTTCCATTTCTTCTCTTAAAATTGTCCCCTAGACACCCGAGATCCAACATGGCGAAGCACTCACAGCAAGTTCATGGGACTTCAAGGTACAATTTCATATACAAAAGTCTGTCTTCTTTTCCTATATTTATTTTCACTTTATCTAATTTCTCCTAATAATTTCAATTTGGTATTACCTTGCTAAATAATGTGCATCTTTGTAAGCTGTCTTCAATTACTTTCAGGCCAAACAGATATTCATGAACATAAATAAACAGATGCATACATGAAATAAATATAAATATCAAATCTAATATTTCCTGGATTAAAATTGATTCTTGATTAAATATCATTCCCTGATTTACTGTTAATAAATATCCTTAAATTGTTATTACTAAATAACAATTTTAGTTTACATTATAGATTACTCATAATTTGGATTATGCTTAAGAAATATATTTCACTTCTCATGAAATCATCTGATCTTATTACTGCACACTTATAACTTAGCTAGTGGCTTTACAGGGGGAAAGGTAGGATGAGAAAGTAGATAATAATTGTCTTTGAGATTATCTTTGTACTTTTAAAACTGGGATTCAATAATGGCTAGCACAGCAGTTACCATGAGCTAGCATTGTATTAAGAATGTGTCATCCTCATTTAATCCTCACAACAACCCTAAGAGATGACACTATTATTATCATCCCATACTATTATTATTGATGAGGAAACTGAGGCACTCTGGGGTTCAGTAACTTGCCCAACATGTGCTTAAGGATTTTGCTGGCTGCCTCACCTATTCTGGGTCTTCCACATTCTTAAAAGACCAGTAAGGTAGCACTGAAATATTAGCTTCCAGTATTGTCCAGAAACCATCACAAATAATAAGGGGGAAAAGGCAAACCAGATGATCAGTCATACTGCAAGTGAAGACAATTTGCCCCCAAATAATCCACTCTGTTCCTCAAGATGACATCTCCCAGTCTTTGCCCCTCTCAACCAGACAAAGCATTTATGATGGTGCATTAATATAAACTTTGTGGATTTTTTAAATAAATCCAAACGTTATTTAAATGAAAGGGATTGAGAAAAGAGTTTTCCTTTATTCTTGGTAGCAAAATTATTCATTGCCTGCTGCTATTATAAGTCATGTGTTGCTTCAGTCAATACTGCCTGGGGCAGGCTTGGGCTTTATTTGCCATCTTTGTGTTTGAGCCTTGAAATGAGGTTATCGATTTATGATCAGTATAACTCCTGGCTGAGTCCTGGATGTTATGATACCACTAATATAGCACACTGAGGAAATCACCTGCTATCCCTCAAGGCAGAATCTACATCTTGCTCATTTTTGTGTCACTCCAGCACCTAGCACATAATAAACACTCAATGAATATATGCTGGCTGAGTGACTGGATTCATAAATTATTCTCTGGGTATAGATTTTAAGTTTCTAATGGATAGTCTCTGTTTACCACCTTATAGAGTGCTAACACTGAATAGCATGGATATGATCAAGTGAATGAACTACTTACAGTTTTAAGATAAATGGTGAGAAGTGTTTATGTGTTGCTGAACTCATATGCTAGAAGACACGTGAAAATAAGAGCTCTGCCAAAAACAAAAATTTGCTTGAAACCCCATATATTCTATTTCATAAGGAACCAACTTCTTCATCATTAATTAACAAGAAATCTGGCCGTTTTTTACTTCCTCGGTAACATGAAGGAGTATTAAGCTCTCACATACTGCCGGTTTTAAACCTTCATTACCTTAAATATAAAGTGACTCCTAGGTATATGGATCTTAGATAAATAAAAGGCAGTATATATTTCTCTAGAGCATTAGTTGAAAGAGGTCTATCATTTTGTTTAGCAATAAAGGGCTCATTCTGATGCCATACAGAGGAGGTTTCATAATAATAAGTGTGGTTGAGGTAGGAAAGACAGTTCCAATTCGCCTGGAACCAAGATCCAGATATATCTGGCTTTTAGCTTTAGAAGAAACTCCTGTCCATTAAGCTATAGACATCTGGCAATTTACATAGGGAATAAAGAATTTCCTGAAAACTTTCAAAGCATATTTCTAAATGGGGACCAAACTCATGCAGAAATGCTTAGAGGACTGAGTTGGTGGGGAGCCATAGGGAGTCATAGTGCCAGCAGGACTTTGAAGAATCTCCGGGGGAAAGTGTTCTGAGAGGAACAAGACAGGCATGACCAGCCTGCCTCAGCCATGGGACTGAGAGTGAGTGGGAGGGGATCCAGGCACAGTGGCCAGTTCTAGTGCAGCCTGTGACACCCCTAGTGCCATGTGTGAGCTACACCATCCCCCCGTTCACTACAGAGGTGCCCCTTTAACATAGTAGAATGCCAAAGCCAGGAAGCTCTTCCCTTCTCACTTTCCAGAAGACCACCACCTATGGAAAATGGGCACAGGGGGCTCTAGGTCTAGACTGCTGGGCAAGATCTCATCTTCAGATGGGCAGCAGCTGATGGGCAGAGCAGCAGGGATCTGGAGTAAGGGGAGCCCTGGACTGGATCTGTGAGGGCACATGAGGAACCAGTATATCTGGTGTAGACTTTGCAGAGAATGACATACCTATTTGAGTGAGTGGGGCTTATGGCCAGCAAACTATGTCTCTATCCACTACAAAATTCAAGTTCAACTCTAAACGTGAAATCACCTGTACCTGTTGAAAGAGAAACCTAAGAACATTCAGTTTATAAATTTTTCTGTATGATAAAATAAATAAAATTACAAGTTACTATATATCCTTGACTGTCATCATGCTTTATGGTTTCACAAACCATATTTCACTTCTTTCTTAGAACATTGTGAAGGAAACAGAGCCTGCATTATCCCTAATAGATGAGGAACTGAGGTTCAGAGACTCAAGAGATTTAACCTTGATCATACAACTCATGTAACTTCAGTGGCCATACAGTTCCATGAATGAAGCATCTCTGTGTGTTATTCACTCACTGACCCACAATGCATTGACCTCTTGTTTTAGGAGCTCATGAGTACTGACTGATAAACCATGATGCCAAAGTTGGGGGCTAGTTGGAGGAAAGGCAAGGCTGCCATTCCTGCAGACATATGGAGGATTAACTCGTCCAACACTGATCACTCTCCCAAAGCAACCTGTGATGCTGTCTTTCCCTGTCCTTTGCTTCTTCTTCCCCTTCTCTCTCCAAACAGGTACCAGGGACATCCTGTGGTGGCTGGTGCTGGGAGCATAGTGGTTATTTGAAGAAGGAGGATGGGGAGAAGAAAGAGACAACGGGAGAAGTGTGTGACTGGCAGAGAGCAGGTAGAACTGGAAGAAATCATACCACCTCTCCCCACTCCATGCTCTTTAAAAATATTCCCTTTTTAAAATCTCATTTAGCAAAAATGTGTAAATTCAATTAACTGAACACAGTAATGTACTTACTGGATACAGAAAGCCATGGCAGCATTTTTTTTTCAAGTCAACAAACAATACAACCCATCTGTAAGGTCAGCCAAAACAAAGACCCATAAACTTTGCAGGAGTAACTGGGTTTTTAGCATTTTCTTTTCCTTCTTCCTCATTTTTAGAGCTAGTTGCCCTTTCCCACTTTTTCTCTATGTCCGTGGAAGTCAGTCCACCAAAACAACGCACACAGGCCAAGCAGGAAGCCATGCAGGCTATAGGGCCAGCAGGCCTCGGCATCACTCACCATTGGGTCTGCCCCCAGTGCTCTGTTCTGGACTGGAAGAAACCAGGGAGGGGAAATACCTTCCAACTGATTGCTCTGTCCTAGAAAGAAAAACAGATAAAATGAAGGTTGCCAGGGCCAGCTAGATTGGCAGAGACAGCTTGGCTCCTAAATTCTGCAGAGGGAGGTTTACACCAGGGTCACGCTGAGTGTTTCTTACTTACTGAACAAAAGAAAAAGGTTGTCCCCATCCTGGTACCAGGTGGAGGCTGCCTGTCTCTGCTCCTGTAGTGCAGGTAATTCTCCCACCGTGAAATAAAGGTCAGAGGTGCTGGTTGCAGAAGTCTGATTAAAGAGGTGGGGTGAGCACAATGAGCTTTGAGGAGTGAATCAGAGCCAGCCCTCACCACAGCTATTAGACAAATTCTGTTCCTCCGACATTTACAGAGTGCCTGCCCCATGCAAGGCACTGTGCCACGAATTAAAATTTTAAAGGAATTCGTACAACCTCTATTACCTTTCATCAATAACCCCTGGGCAGGTAGAGTTACTCTTGTTATTAAGCAATATGCTCAGGCCCAAAAAGGTTCTGTGGCAGCGATGATGCAGGGAAGTCCCTGAGCCTGGCTGCCAGTTGCCCACTGTATGAAGAAGGCGAGTCTTTCAACCTCTTCGGCTTCAGTTCATCAGCTATAAAGAGGAGGGTTGACCAGTTAGTCTCTGTTAAAGACTTCTGATAGTTTGTTCCTTATCCTTTGTAGCTAACATTTGTTGAAAACTGTTAACATAAAGTGGGTACCCATTTTATATATAAGCATATTTCTAACATTCTATGATTTGTTAAAGTCCATACTCTCAAAGTAATGCACACTAATTTCATATTTTATTATACTTACACTGAATTCTATATTTTTATATTAAATTATTGGTATAGAAGAAATAAGGAAAGCAAAATTTTCATTCCCCCCCCCAATTGGCATTTCTTTAGTCAAAACTCTCTCCCCTATCATTCCTTGCTATTAGTTTTGCAGGGAAAGTGGAATTTGAGCCAGAGCACCAAGACTTGCAGAGTCATTTTTATTGTTGTTATTTTTGGTTTTAATAGAAAAAAATACTTGCAATGAGAAGACATTTTCAGTTCATCCTAGGGGTTCTTCAAAAGGTTATGCAAGCTTTCCATGAGTAAGAATCTAAAATGCATTCTTTTAAAAATCCATTGTAAATAGGTCTCATGATCTATATATTCTCAGCTGCTACTATACATTTCGGTGGCAGTTTACATTTGTAAAGGATTTTATAATTATTTAGCTGACTCTGGTGATAACCTTCTAAATTAAAGCTCAGCTTCGGTAATGGATGTTTTGACTCCACTTGCCAAGTCCACTAGCAGGAAATGAGTGAAGACCTCTGGTTGGGGAAAGACCTTTCTGTGTGTTTCTAGCAGGGAAACTGTCAACACATTTAATTGAGATTTGAGAAATGGGTAGCAAAATAGCAGTGAATGATGGCATTTGCAAATTAGTTGAGGCCAAGTGAATTTTTGCCTGGAGTGTTCAGGCTGAAAAAAATAAATATGAGGGAAATCAATGTTAAAGGAGAGAATCTTTCTTGTTGCCCTGCTGATTTTCTATGAATTAAGGTGTACATAATTGATTCCGCTTAGAAGTCCCTGTCTTTTATTTTTTTATCCTCTAAGGGAATCTGTCAAATCTGATGTGAGATGTAGGTGTAAGATAAGATGTAGTAGAAACAACCTTTGAACTTACTCTACTGATCAAAGTAAGGGGCAACCTGTATCTCCCCCTACTTAGATTTCTTCTTCTCCAGGGAATCATTTCAAATGTTTCCAAAAGTGGAGGGGAAACGTTTCCATTTTCTTTACTTTCTGCTGTGATACAGGCAAAACCATCAATACCCATTTCTGCCAGTAGCTGACACTCATGGTTATCCATGAACCTACCCAGTGCTCTATTCTCCATGAATTATTGTGCATTTATAAAATTTAAGTATGTGAGGTCAGTACAAAAGTAATAAACTTTGAAATAATGTTAGATAATGAAGGCTGTATTTTAGACATAATCATCTCTAACATATATGTCTGGCAATCTGAGTTATAGAGCAGTTCTCTTTATCTCAAGTGTAACATATTTAATTTAGATTTTTTCAAGAAGTTGCCATATATTTAATACTAATCTCTTCTTGAGAAAACATTTTATATTTTCCAGATAGCACAATACAGTCTGTTTTGCCTTAATAATTACTTAAAATCAGACAAACTTCATATCTATATGGCAGTGTGATTGAAAACCTGTTTGTCCTTTTATATTTGCATATATGTAGAGAATATCATACATCTAACATGTAAAGGTTAACATTTTTACTGATCATTCTGAAATTTTCTCTGATCATACTGTACTACGTTATAGTAAACATTAAGCTCAACAAAGAGTGGGAATTGTTTCTTCTTATGCCTAATTTGTTCTTGACTACAATTATAAATGAAGAGGAAAAAAGAAGATAATCCTTGTCATAAATTACAACTGATTGAACTTTTTTCCTTTTTTTCCAAGGCCTGTGGCTAAATTCTAGAAAAAACTAGACTACATGGATAGTTTTATTATCAAAATTTCCACTGTGATTCTATTCAGCATTTACATGGGGTATCTATCTTTATAAAATCAAAATGTGTTTTCACTAAAAATTAGATTTATTTACTATTCTGATAAAAGGCCTCAAATTTTTCAGTGCAATATTTGGCCATTGAGCTTCAGGAAACACCCCTAAATTTGTATGCCATATCAGGTATGAACTAGTCATTTCCCCATCTTCAACAGACAAAGAGAAAGAAAAAAATGGATTTCAGGGCGGGGGGCAGAGGGAGGATGAAACACATCTCATTTTTACATGACAAAGTAATTTTTAGTCCCTGAAAATGCTTTGAAAATGCATTAGGCTTTAAATTACCATAATTTTCACCCACGCCCATGTAAGAAAAGGGAAGCAAAAGAGAAAGGAATCATAAAAATCTCAGGGTAGTGCATTCTTACTTTATTACCTCGTTGCTTCCAATCCCTGCATGAGTTCCCAGCACTTCTACTTTACTCTTACCCTCATTCTTCTCCAATATGTTTCACATTGATTTTTTTTTTCTATTCTCTGCTGACTGCACAGTCTAAAAATGCTTTGACCTTAAAGTCAAGGTCAAGTTTGCATTCCTGGAGTAAACAAGCAAGAGAGATGGAGAAGAGGAGAACTTAAAATCATCTAACCAAGAAAAATTATGGGGCAAAAATATGTCTTCTAAAAAAAAAAAGAAAGAAAGAAAACAATGTCTCTCTCTTCTGGGATTTCTTTTTCTTCTATATTTGGCATTCAAGGTGAGGAGCATTAATATAAGCTGCCAGTGAAACGAGTGAAATTTCCCCCCAAGTATTATTCGTGAAGGAGCTAGTCTGGCATTAAATATTCCTATCGCTTTCCAGAATAATAGATATGATAGAATGAAAATTTCCAACCCATACTATTCTGCTCAAGTACTATACTGGAAAAACAAAAACTACACATTATGGCTCCAAGAAAAAATGTAATAGATTAGTGCTGGAAAGCTATGCTTTTAAAAAGCGTTAAGTTTGAATAATCTTCTAGAATTTTTTCAAGTTTTTAAAAACATCATCTCTGTTCCAGGGCATAACTAGAGTAATGCCCACTTAGAAAGATAGTATTTCTTGAAGTGTTCCATTTATAACAAAGGCAGAAGAACAACTATACTCATAAGAACATATTCCTTCTTTTCTTATCCTCGTCTGAAGCAAAGGGTCCCCACAACCAGAGGAAGGCGTTTTAAAACTTCAGTGTGATGCCTCCAGTGTGGACATAGTTATTCAATGCAGAGTTAACTCAATTGGGCATCTGGGAGATCTACTTCGTTATAAAGGCCCTGCAGCGAAATACCATGTCTCTTTTGAGAGGCCTTTTAATTTTAAGTGAGGTCCATACATAAGCCTTTTCATAATATGTCTTAATTGTAATGTGATGTGATGTGATGTCATCCAGAAAGCAGTTTCAGTAACTGCTCTGGATGCCCAGTTTGGCTCAGACACATATTTGCATCATACAGTGTGTCTCAGGTCTCTATCCACTGAAAGCACATTTCCGCTAAGATTAAAAATCTCCATATCTTCTCTGATGAACAATATTGGTGCCCTGTTCTTCCCTTTTCAGTAGAATCTAAGTTTGTCTAAATATTCACCTTTCCTTCTATAAGCATGAACCTCAACTCCAGGTCAACCTCAATGGACTGTGGTTAATTCTATATTTTTAGCCAGAAATTGATTTGGGAATAAAAATGTAATGCAATGCTGGACAAGGAAATGTGGGGAAAGGCAGTTAGGGGGGATTCTAGAAAAGTAAAGACTCTTTCTTCTTTACCTGGGTGTTACTGCCCATAAACGTGCTGTTTAAAACTGACCCAGCCTGCTTCCTACCAATCTGAAGACGAAACAAACAAAAGGAGAGCAGGGTGGAGAAAATATTTAAAGAAGAAACTTGATATCATTGAGGCACAGTATCACCCAGCCCCGAGGTCCACCTTACTTAGGAGTTACTTGTCTATGAGGGACATTAGTGTGATTGTTATTTAAGACCTTTGGCATCTGGGTTTCTATTATTTGCAGCCAATAACATGTTAACCAATTTCTCTTGGTTTCATTCCATTGCTTCTACCTTCTGAGCTTAAGCCTTTCAGAAGAGAAATTCCCAAACTATTGCTTACCCTCTTATTTAATTTGAAACTTTCTGTCACAAACATAGGAAAGAAGATAAATGTACAGGAAGTAACACAAGATGATTTAACAACATGGAGACATTAATTCTGAAATTCCTGGCCATGTTTCCGGCCAGTGGCAGGCTGATGAGAGAAGGTGTGAAGAACAAATCATTCAAATGACCATCGTTCATGCAACATGAGCTCACACAGACTATGACCAGTAGATTGTCATGCCAGGAGACAAACAAAATTCCAGTTTCTCTCCACACCTTTCCCAAACCTGACATAAGGTTTTCTTCCCACCAGTGAAATCCCTGGGCAAATTCCACAACTCTC